CACGCTGCCGCCTACACCGTGAGTTGGGGCTGGGATTACTGGGCGCAGTCCATTCCGGGTCCCCCCAAAACACAGCTCTGTGTCCCCGGGCACTCTCCGGAAGGCACTTGGGCAGGCTCCCACCCCTCTAAGCTGGCCCACAGACCTTGTGGGGTGGGTGGCAGGGGCTGGTTGGCACCCCAAACCCGTCGGGAAAGGCTCTGCCAAGCTTCCTTACAAGAGTCCCCCAGAGGTCGGGACCTGTGTTGCCGGGGCTAAGCCTGTGCAAGCCAGCGAGGACATCAGGGATGGCGCTGGGGGCACCGAGGGAGCCTGCTGCTCCTGGCCCGTGTGATTGCCTCTGCACTGCTCACTGGTAGGGGGGACTGTCCCTTACTGCATCCCCCATTGCTGAGCCTGGGGCGGGGGACTTGTGAGGAGAGGCTGAGGGCCCTGGGCTTCTTGAGTCTGGAGAAGAGACAGCTGAGGGGCAATTTGACAGCAGCCGTCAGCTCCCTGCGGGAGGATTGCACACCCCCTCCAGGCACCAAGGCATCTGAGACAAACAGCTCAGCTATCACTTCCCCTCCAACACCCCAGGCATCACACACACATGCACACGCACACACACGCATGCGAAACAGCCCTGGCATCCAACACACAACCCCCTCTCCCCCAAAGAACCCAAGTTTCTGACAGTCATGCACACACCTGCATGCCTCTCATGTCTTCCAGGCTGGGACCGGGGGGGCATCCCCAAAGTGATTGCCACCACAGCCAGTAAAGCAGCAGCTGCAGCAGGAGCCGATCCAACACTGGGGCAGGAGATGATGCAGACCATGCAGCCTCCTTCTGAGACCAAGATCCCTTTGGACACCCCTCAGCTGGCACTGGGGCATCACCTCCCCACCCCACAGACCTGGCGCCAACGCTTCCGGGGCCTCCGCTACCTGGAAGCCAAGGGCCCACGGGAGGTTTGCAGCCGCTTGTGGGAGCTCTGCCAGCGCTGGCTGGAGCCCCATCGCCACAGCAAGGAGCAGGTCCTGGAGATGGTGGTGCTGGAGCAGTTCCTGGCCATCCTGCCCCAGGAGATGCAGAGCTGGGCGTGGGGGTGCAGCGTGCAGACCTGCGCCGAGGCCGTGGCCCTGGCTGAGGGGTTTATGTTGTGGCAGGAGGAGAACGAGAAGCTCCAGGTGAGAATATTTCACCCTGATCATGGATGCTGCTGTCCCCATTTCCACGTGCTTGGGGGATGTTCCCTCCCTGCCCCATCTCTCCCACATCCCAGCTCCCCAGTGACACATTGATCTCGTCCCCAGGTCACAGTGAGTGTGAAGGTGGAGGAGGTGTCCTCAGACAAGATGCCATCCACTGCGGCACTGCAGGACCCTGGTGATTCCTGGCTGGAGCAACCCAAGGCCCATCGTGTGGACAGGCCTGTGGAGGAGTCAGGAGAGAGGGAAACCCCAGGACCTTGGGACAAGCCACCTCCTGTCGCCAGAGAGGAGCCCCTGCCCCCCCAGGACTCAGGTGAGAGACCAGATGTAAGGGCCGGGTGTGGGGCCGGGTGCCGGAGTGGCTGTGCTGCATGCAGGGGGAGAGGCTCTGTCATGCTGCAGATTCCCCTGAAACTGAGGAGACCTGGGAGTTGTCAGCAGACAAAAGCTCCTTACGTTGGTGCCCCAGGTGTGGCCCTTCCCCAGGGGCAGGTACGGAGCGGTGTCTCGACCCTGTCTACAAGCGGGAGGCACCGTCCCTTAGTGCAGAAATCTCTGCCAGAACCTGTTGGTGCAGTAAGCTTTGCAACAGATCAGCAGCTCTTGTTCTCCCAGCGGTTCTGGAAACATTTCATAGATTTCATAGACATCAGGGCTGGAAGGGACCACGGAAGATCATCGGGTCCAGCCCCCTGCCCTAGGGGCAGGAAGTCAGCTAGGGTCAAAGGATCCCAGCAAGATAAGCATCCAAACGTTTCTTAAGAGTCCAGAGTAGGTGCTTGCACCACCTCTGGAGACAGTCTATTTCAGGCTTTGGGGGCTCAGACAGTAAATAAGTTTTTCCTTATGTCCAGCCTAAAATAGTCTTGGAGGAGTTTGTGACCATTAGACCTTGTTGTCCCTTGGGGTGCTCTGGTGATCAGGCGTTCCCCCAGGTCCTGATGCACACCCCTTATATATTTATAGACTGCCGCCAGGTCCCCCCTGAGCCTGCACTTCTACAGGCCAAAGAGTCCCATGGCTCTCAGCCTCTCATCATAAGGCCTGTTCTCCTGCCCTCTGAGCATGCGCGTGGCTCTGCTCTGGACTCTCTCAAACTTCTCCACATCCTTCTTGAATTGTGGAGCCCAGAATTGGATGCAGTACTCCAAATGCAGCCTTACCAAGGCTGAGTACAGTGGGAGGATATGCTTGAGAAGCATCCACGGATGCAAGTCAGAGTTTTGCTCGCTTTACCACCTGCGACATCACATTGGTAGCTCATGTTCCTCTTGTGGTCCATCGTGACCCCCAAGTCCCTTCTGGCCATGGTGCTAGCAAGCATAGCACTGCCAAGCATGATGCGGGTTCTTTTCCCCGAGGTGGAGCACCTTATATTTTTCCATATTGAATGTCATCAGGTTTATATCTGCCAACTTTCTAAACTTATCCAGGTCAGCCTGGATCACCAGTCTATCCTTGGGTGTGGACAATTTACTCCAAAGTTTGGTGTAATTGGAGAACTTTGCCAGCCCGCTTCTGACACCAATGTCTACATTGTTAATAAAGATGTTAAAGAGTATAGGCCCAAGGACGGAGCCTTGGGGGATCCCATTGGTCACGGAGCACCATGATGATTCACTTCTGTCGACTACCACTCTCTGGGTCCAACTTCAGGGCCAATTCCCCAGCCATCGGACTGTGGTATAGCCGAGCCCGCAATTGGCCAATTTTTCCATGAGGAGATTATGGGACACCAGATCAAAGGCTTTTTTTAAGTCCAGATATGTGACGTCAATCTCTTCTCCCTTGTCCAGGTGATAGGTCACCTGGGCATAGAAGGAGATGAGATTGGTCAGGCAAGACCTACCCACAACAAATCCATAGTTTCATAGTAGCTAGGGTCAGGAGGGACGTGAACAGATCATCTCACCTGACCCCCTGCCACAGGCAGGGATGAATGCTGGGGTCAACAGACCCCCGACAGG